CGGCTTAAATGGGTAATGAAGAAAAACTTTAATATAAGCTTAACATGACAGCAAATGTACAACGTTTCGACAAGGTTTTGTCATCATCAGGTCATCTTAGAATGTTTTAAATGTTCAGTATCTATTGATCAATATTTTTTGCTTTCTCTAGGACCCTTTAATGGTTGTGGTCCTCGGGAAAATTTCCACGATCTCCCTCTCCCTCTCCCTCTCGATGGGTGTGTTATTGGTTAACTAAACAGGTTGTTGATTGAAAGGTCTAAGGTTCGAGACTCTGAACATACCTCCGTACTTACAATTGTAAGAGGATTATAACTGTAAGTCAATCCTATCATATAGTTAATAGTAGCCGCGTAAGCGGCGGGCGCTGCTGACTGATTGTACTCCCTCTTATCAGAAGTTCTTAATTATAGACGGCTATGGTTGAGCCTTGGGGTCTCTGACCTAACTGTTTAGCCCATGTGCCTTTCAGACTGAAAATACCAATACCAAATAATCGTAGTTATGAACTACAATCAAAGATACAAAACAATAAGATTACTCCAATTTTACATGATTATAAGAAACATTAGAGGAATTGGTAAAGTTCAGTACAAATAAACAAACAAGGTTACATACCTGAAGCTCTTCCTTGTATTAGGCGTAAATAGCGTTCAACAGCTACTGCAATATTATTATCTACGTTCATGTCATTAACGTATTGACGAATAACTGATATGAGGCCTATGTGCTTAGAATCTTTACCGTTGACTATTTCGTTAAGCGTCAGTTCTTCCCATACAGAATCATCTAGAAAGCAAGAAACTGAAATTATAATACCAAACATTAACATAGGAAATCCTTAATGGCTGCAGCACATGAAATTCTTTAAGGCAGGATTAGAGTAAATTAATCTATGATCCCTTTTTTCCAATTGAAATTATTTTAGGAAGGATTAGAGTAAATTAATCTACGAGACCTTGGGCGTGATCAAATACATCGTTCGAAAGGGTTTGTCATTTTGAGTCCAAAACTGTAATTAGATCTAAAATCGGTCAAGAGATGGCAGAGCTATGAGCTAAAAGTTTGTACTTGAAAACAAAATAATCACTGCTGTAGCTATCCTTGAGATTACAGCACCATTGTTTTTTTTAGTTAAATGATTTAAACAGGTGATATAATTTATGTTTTTGTTTGTTTTAGTAAGAAAAGTGTTCACTTTGTGCTTTACTGGAGAGGATTTTTACTCTAAAACCGAAAACGTGTTATATTCGTCCTGTTTTCTTGTCTCTTTTGATATTATACTTGCATTTTTAAGGCACAGAATAAAAAATTCACACATTTGAACGTTAGATCTAACAAGATGAGAATATACTTGAGAGGTCTTACCATCATTTAAATTGGATTTCATCCAAAACTTTTCACAGTTCACAGCGTCACGCTTTTGTGCTCTTTGAACGTTCTCATGAACCTTACAAACAATAACAAATACAATTCAACTTACAAAATCACATCTTGCACAGTATCCTACTCTCTATTTAATTAAAAAAATTACTATTCAAATATTACATATGTCTTGTAAATTAATTTTTTTAGCTCCTCTTTAAAAAAAAATGTAAATAGACATTAATATACTTCTGATGAATTAATAATATTGCTAGGAAAAAATGTTTTGATTATAACAACAAAATTTTGATTTATATTGAGCATCACACAAAATAATGTACGTTTCTAAAATAAATCTAATGAATCTTGAAGTTGAGCTTACAGGGGTCAGTTCAACATGGTAATGATTAAACATAGTTCAAGTTTCTATTTAAAACATTCTACTTTGCCAACCTATTTAGTTCTTAGCAGTTACATTAGATGTAACGTTTTTTTCTCTCACCTTACTGATTGGTATAAGTATGTTCAACTTCTTTTCAAGGATGATTTTGGCTAAAATTGCCACAAACAAACAAAAAGCTGCATTTTCGTAGTCTGTGAACTGGACCTGTTAACACGTTACTGAATAAGTTTTACAAAAAACACTATAAATTAGAATAAGTTATTTGACTTTAAAATCAGAAATCAAATTTTGTTACAAGAAAATAAAAAATAATAAAGTATAAATAATAGGTTCTGTAGCGAAGTCCCGTTGAACATTTCATGCAGAACTATAAATCCTTTCCTTAGACAAACATTGATTCATCTCCTCAAGAAAAATACTTTAAACCTTTCTTATAGACAGAGACATTGAGGCTTCCATTTAGACAAATACTTTAAAGCTTTCCTATAGATAGAGGCATTGGATCTTTAATTTGAACAAATACTTTAAATCTTTCCCATAGGCAGAGGCATTGGGTCTTAATTTGAACAAATACTTTAAAT